CTATACATTTTTACAGAAATAGGTTTTTAAATTAAAAAAAAATAGATTGACTGTTTTTTATATAAAAAAGAAACCATAAAATTTTGTATAATCTTGAGAGTGGCAAAGGTCCTTCTAAAATGACCCAGGGAAAGACCAATAAGGGAAAATAATGAAAACTATAATTTGAATAAAACATTTTCAACATCTCTCTATACCATAACTCTATAGACACTATAAACAGGGCGAGAACAAGCTAAAAAAAGATCATCCAGTCCTTTGATCTTTCTTTTCTACCCCAACCTGTCGTTTCTCTCTTTTCATCTTTCCCTCTGTGTCTAAAGAGATTGAAGAATCTCTTTAGAATCATACTGTTAATATCCCAAGTTTCCTTGTATTTCTGTCTTCTCCTCTTACGCTGTCATGAAAATCTCATTCCTGCCTAAAACCAACAGCTCCCGTATTACTTCCATGCCAGCAGCCTAATCATCTGGGCTGAATGTTGAGTTCCCCCAAACCTCATACACTGAGGCACTACCCTCCCAGTGCGACAGTAGTTGGAGATGGAGCCTCTAGGAAGTTATTAGGGTTAGATGAGGTCACGAGGATGGGCCCTAATGATGGATTAGTGCCCTTCAGAAGAGACACCACCAAAGCATTTGCTCTCTCATCCGCTACCCCACCTTCCGCACACACAGAGGTCTTGTGAGCACACAAGGAGATGGCGCCATCTACAGCCAAAGAGAGTTTCACTAGGAACCAAACTGACTGGTACTTTGATCTTGGACTTCTCAGCCTCTGTAACCTTGGGAAAATAGATCTGTATTATTTAAGCCTTCCAGACCATGGCGTTTGTTATGGCAGCCTGAGATGACTACGAAACTAACAATATCAAGAAAAATCACGCAATAGGATAGATTGGTCTCAGTATAAATTCATCATCACGAACCTTGAAAGAAAATATCTTAGTCATTCAGTTGTGCCCGGTTTGGAGTTCCCATGGACTATAGCCCGCCTGACTCCTCTATCCATGGAATTCTCCAGGCAAGAATAGTGGAGTGGGTTGCCATTCCCCTCTCCAGGGGATTTTCCCAACCCAGGGATCCAACTGGGCCTCCTGCACTGCAGGAGATTTTTACCATCTGAGCCACCAGGGAAGCCCTCATCAATCTTAAATTGGTCCTCAGACCCTGACGAGGAGTCCTAAATTTCTTTAGTCAACTTATTTCACCATTCACTATAAGATGGACTGTTTGAATTTTTCAACCAGTGGCTTTGTCTTCTATTTTGAAGTTAAAACAGAAGTTACCAGATAGGAACTTCCTCATCTTTCTAATTGTAAAAGCTTAAAATTACTTATGTTTGCACCTGGGCTCCCACATTTCTCTATGGTTACAACTGAGAATTAGTATCTTTAACCAAAGCTCAAACCATCCACCTATGCATTGGATCCCATTGCTTTTCCATATTCTTACTTCTGATCATTTTTTCTCTCTTGCGTTGCTAACATTTCCTTGCCAGTGGATTCATTCCATCAGCTTTAAAATGTGCTCACGTCATTTCCATGAAAACAAACAACACAACAGTAGGGACAGAATACCAACATCCCTTTACTCAACATTTCCCTATGTCACTCCCTCTTTTCTCCCTCTTTACAATAAAAGAGTTGTGTGATTCTCAGTTCCCACTCTTTCAGTCTCCTACTTGGCTTCCACCTTCCTTATTCTACCGAAACAGTGCTTATTGATCTGCAGGAACATTGTGTATAAGAGGAAATTAGCTTTTTGTCCATGATGTGAATTTCAAATACATTTTCTCAGTCTGTTACTTTTCCTTTGTGTTTATGATGAAACTTGCTTCGTAGATTAAAAAAAGTTGTGTCTTCACTTTTATCAGTCTTTTCTGCAGGCTGCTGGGCTTGGGTATACATAGAAAGTCCACTTCTTTGAGATTATAAATAATGATTTGGTAATCTCTCTGGCTCATAATATTTTAGATTTGAGGACTTTTTATGTGTTACAATTGTAACTTTGTCTTCCTAAAAAATTTTTTTGGTCTTTTTTGATGGGGAAAACAAGCAGATTGGGGAAATGATGAATGAGTATAATCTACCCATTGAGTTCTATGGAGTCCTTGTAGGTTAAATTTGGCATTTACCATTCTCATTATTTTTACTGTGTCTTTTTACATCTCTGAATAACCTTTGTGCCAATTCTTGGATTAATAAAGAATTGCAATAGGTACCAAAACAGTTCAAAACATAATGTGAAAACTTATGTGCTTCTATAGTAGTATTGTACTTTGCACTGGAATATAATTGATTCATTATCTCCCAGATTAGTGATCTGAAGAAAGAATGAGACCCACAACATATAGCTCAAGGTAATTAAGAAAAAAGCTTTATCAAATAAGGCCCCCATGTGGCAGTTTAATGACACGCTGGACATAGAAAAGAAGGTTTAAGGCGAAATCTTGTGCAGCAAGTGCCGTCAACTGAATCCCAGTAAAAGTAGCATTGAAAATAACATTATTGGGGGTGGTGGGTAAAAAAAAAAGAAAATAACATTATTACCTAATCATGTCAGATGGAGTTTTACTAAGTCTCCAGTCATAGTAAATTCATAGTACAAGTAACATGAAAATGTACTTGAAAGGCTAGGAAGCCACTTTTAAGAATAACGACATCTCACTTTTCTGTTTGATGTGACCACTCAGTTTTTTCTTCCTGATAAGTGTTTCAGACATGTGTGTTCTCTCCCTCCTGCAGGACAAACCAGCGTGGAATTTTCTTGATAACTGATAGCTTCCCATTCTTTTCTCTATGTAGTTCTCATCTGTATTTAAATAACAATTTCGATTTGAGTAGGATAAACTTCCTTGCAAGCCTCTATGTCATTCATCACAGAGCGGACAAGAAATGTTTGGCAACCAGTGCACTGACCTGGAAAAACCTCCTACTTTTATGTGAAAGATCATGTTTAAAGTCTACATCATTTTATTATAATTTTAATGTCTGAATATTTATTGTAATAAATTAGTTGTGAGTTTTTTCTACATGGTATTTTCATTCTATTAACACTGTGATTAAGCTGAGTGGATGAAAGGGCTCAGTCTTTGCCCTGATGATTTCAAATAGAGATTAAAAATTTTTTACAACCTTGGAAATTAGTAATTTACAGCTTTAATATACAAAGCTCTGTTTTAAAAGCATTCAACATACAGTAACAGTACCTCCTGTAGTACTTTGTATAATATACAACAAGTAGAGATACCTACACTGTATACATATATCTATTCTATAATATTCTTTGACAGAAATGTCAACACCAGAGCTGAAAGTGAATGGATTTTGGAGCCACCGAAACTGTAAGATTAGAGTAAAATAATGTCAAATGCGACTTCAAGTTAAATTTAACGAACATTTATTGAAAACCAGCTTTCTGCACAGCAGCGAGCCAGGTATCCTAGGGACAGCTGTGAGTAAGGACTTCACCCTAAAATCTGGGCATACTGATGCAAAGAGAGATGAATGGCCAACCGAGATGAGCGTCCGAGAACTCGGGGTCAAAGCCAGGACCTCCCTGTTGGTAAGGTCAGGGGTGGAGAACCTCTGGAAAGTGGGCGCTAGGTTCCCAACAGTCGTGCTGTGGATAGCACTCCTTGCCTCATCTCTGGGAGCAGCCCAGCCGAGCCAAGGCCGAACTGCCCGGAGGCTCGCCGCCCCCGGCTCCTAATTCCGGGGTCACTGCCCAGGACCGGAGAAGCGCGAAAGGTGCAGTGTTCACTTGCGGCGCACTTCTGTGGGCCGTCACTCCGGGCTGCACGCCAAGCTGTGGGCTAGGACAGGAGCGAAGTGGCGTCAAAATCTCACCAGCAGACGCCCCAGCAGGGATGTTCTGAGGGTAATTTCCCTCCTTGGGCTATCTGTAGTTGTCCATCAGGCCAGGGGAGGGCGTTAGCGCGTGCGCGCGCACACACACACACACACACACACACACACACACACACAAGCCGCCATCACCACACACACACACACACACACACACACACACACACACAAGCCGCCATCACCACCACACACACACACACACACACACACACACAAGCCGCCATCACCACCACCAAAACCCCCGCGCGCACACACGCACACCACCACCAACAAAATCCGCTCCCTTCCTGGAAGTCAGGCCCTGGGTCAGGTGAAGGAGGGGGAGCTAGTGCAGGCTCGGCGTCGTAGCTACGGATGCCACTAGGCTGGGGAGTCGGATTCCGGCAATAGGGTCAGCCGTTAGAGCTAGCGATCCCAGCCATTGGTTGGGTTCCGGGAAAGGCTCAACAGTGTTCCCGGGGCACACGTGAGCACCACATCCCACAAGCCCCAGGCCAGCTGCGGCGCAGCTCCCCAGTGTGCAGACTGCCTGCAGCACACGGGTGGTGAGCGCCAGCCCGGCCTCTTGACAGCTGCCCACGCGCCGGGGCGGGCGCTAGCAGGTAGCTTTAAAGGTCCGCGCGGCAGCCCCGCCCCTCGCGTGCCGCGATTGGCTCCAGCTGGGGCGGCATTGGCTCGATAGGCGCAGAGAGGGCGGGGCTGCGCGCGCGAGGCCCGTGGCTCCCCTTGGCTTCCGCCGCTGGGGCGCGAGTGGCGGCTGAGTGCGGGTGGTTGGGCGTGCGGGGCCAGCGGGCACGCGCGTGCGCGGCGCCGAGATCCCTGGGGAAGCAGGGGAGCGGCCGACGCCGCACCGCACGCACAGCCCGGCGGCGCGCGCGAGGGCGGGGGTGGTGCGTTCGTGTGTGCGCGTGAGTGTGTGTATGTGTGTAGAGCTCCGGTGCGGTGCGCCAGCCGCCAGTGCCCGGGTGCGAGTCCCCCATCGTCTTCCACACCCTCCCTCCGTCCCCGTTCCTTCCCTGCCACCCTCCCGCGCCCCCACGGCCGCAAGCCGAGCAGAAGCCCAGGGAAGCAGGTGTGGGGGGGGGGGCGGGCGGGGTCGCACGAGACAAAGGGGCCCGGGGGTCAGCCCGCCATGGCCTCCCGGAGCCTGGGGGGCCTGGGAGGGAGCCGCGGCGGGGGCGGCGGCGGCAAGAAGAGCCTGAGCGCCCGCAACGCCGCCGTGGAGAGGAGGAACCTGATCACGGCGTGCAGGTACGGCGCGGCCCGCCGCTCGGGGACAGAGGAGGGGGCCGCCGGCGCCCGGGCTGGGGAGAGCGCTAGCCCCCGGGGTCCCGGAGACAGCCCGCCGAGCCCCGGCCGCGCCGGGCGTGTCCGCGGCCAGCGCGTCCCGAGTGGGGCCGGTCTGGGCTCCAAGGCCCGGACTTTCCGTCAGTTTCAGTGCTGGGAGCCGCTGAGGGGAGGGCTTGGGGCGGGGCTGGGGGAGGATTTGTTTTCAGGGTACAGTCTAGCGTCTGAGTGAAAGAGGAGGGCGGGGAGGAAGAGCTGTTTCCTTTAGTGCGCGTTAAGCGGTCAGGCAGCTTTTCGTTAATTGTTGACTGTGTTGCCTCAAAATCGGAGTGCGTTTTGTTTTCTGTGTTTGATTGTTTCCACATACATTGTCGTTTCGTGCCACAGATAGTGAGTGCCTTCTACATGCTAGCCGCGTGGGGATGTGTTTCCTTGTCCTCTGCACTCTAAATTGCGGTGTTACTGATATTTCTGCAGTTGATACCAAGAGTAGAACTGTGGAGGATACCTAGCCGGTGATTTATTTCAAGTTTTGCCTTTCTTTGTTTTGTAACTATAATCGTAGTGTTCCCTTATTTTTAAAAATGTATTTAGAAATTACTTTCAACCAGCTTAGTATTCAGAAATAACTGACTTCTAACATGCTGACATTTTGTTTAAGTCTTGTTTCTGGGTATTAAATCCATGGTAGTCCTAAGCATTCATTTCTTAGGAACGTCATTGAGCCATCAAGTTGTTGTACAAGTACTTTGTTCCGTGAAACTCTTCCTCAGCCATCAAAAATCCTGTAAGAATAAGAATGAGGAGACCTTTCCCTCCTTTACAATTTAATTTTCTTTTCTTTTCATCGTGTAAAGATGTGTCTAGCATCTTAAGCAGAATATAGATGTTTATACTCGGACTTATATTCAGTAACTTTGAGCAGTGGTTTTTGTTTGTTTTTTTTTAATTGCTTTGGACTTAACAGCTGGACTTAACCCTCTGGTAGGAAGACCTGCCTCACTGACTTTTATGGCACTTGGAGTTATAAACAGTAAAATATTAATATGGAATCTTTTGAATTGACATTTGTGCTGTTTAGGATGCAACCTTTTGAGGAAGATAGGTTGTATGAAATTTTTTTACATCTAGGCAGTGTTTTTAAGTTAGGTAAATAGAACAGTAAGCAAGGCTAACTTTCTTACAGTTTTGGTTTGGGAGAGTTTTGTTACCTATTATCTCAGCTGAAGTGATTTTGAGTGTTTGTAGGATGATGTTAATTACCCAAATATTTCAACCTGGAACTTTAAACACCTGGGCTGACATAAATTGCTCTCAATCATTGTGGCAGTCTTCAGAACGGTGGGTGTTGAAGATTTGGGGTAAAACACTGAGAGGTTTTATACTAATTTTTAAAGACAATAAAAACAGATGAATAAAAAATCAGTGGAGGATGCTGTTTTGCGTCTCCATTTTTGTCATGGCAGCAGAGGCAGTTCAGGAAAAGAAAGGCACAAATCTGAACCTTATTTAAGTTACGTGTTTAAGGAATGTCAGTCTCATCACACTGATTTGTGTGGACAGTTGTTACAGGTTAGAATTTTTGTTGTGTTTGTCTAATTCTTTTCTACTCTGGAGTGAGCATACGTGCTGACTTTAGTTACAGATTATGATAAATTTAGTACTGTAGCTAAAAGAAATTTCATTATCGTAGCTATAATGAATTTCAGTTTCTGGCTTAGATTTCAAGTTGAGTATTTATGTGGATAATGTTACTAACACTGTTCTTCATGTTCAAATAGTTGGTGCATGTCAATTATTATCCTTTTCTAGTACTGAAACCTATTTGATAGATTTTGTCTAAAGGCTTTTGGTTTTGGGGGAAAAGTCATTGTAGGCCATTTGGGTATGTTAAGTATACCTACCTCGAATTTTGGAAAAGAAAAATATCAGTTATTTGTGAATTTCTGTTGCTTTTCTCTCTTTCAGAATTACCAGAACCTGGGTATCTCAAGTTAATTAATCTATTAATTAATTTATTTTAAAATATTCATGTAGCAGATCAGACGTGATTTCGTATTTAAGTTGGGAAGAAGCTGGTTTAGTGAAAATATAATTGAGATCTAAGTTTACTTTGTCATTAATTGTGTCCTTTAACAAGTCTGTTTTTCAATTTTCTCATCTGTAAAATAATCTTGGACGAAATCATTGGTAATTTTCACTGACAGCCCTAAACCTAGTTAAAAAAAAAAAAGCTAGAACTCATTCAAGCAGAATGGGTTGGTTCATACTTAAGTTTGGAATTTCTCCAAACAGGAGCAGGGTAATGGTAGACATATGTTGAATGTAGCTAGATGAGGCATGTGCTTTTTTCTCTGTCAACAAAAACATTTTGAATTGTGCCTTCTATATTGTGATACCTTGATTCTCTACTGGTATTCTGGAAAAATGAAACAGTATAGAAAGCCAAACCAAACCAAAACAAACTCCCTCCACCCCTGACTAGCGTTCTGGTATATGTGTTAGTTGAGTGTGGGAAGATATTTTAATCTGTTTAAGTTCTTTGCAGGTTAATCAGTACAGGTGATATGCATCAATACTTATACAGTAATGCTTTCATTACCCCTTAAACAGTCTAGGCATACTCTCAGTTTAGGTTTACAGCCCTATTACATAACTACACAATTCTTTCGGTTTAAAAATACCTCATATTAAGAACAGTGTTACAGCTCAGACTTTGGAAGTGAGGTATTTGGTTAAGTAGTATAGTCAAGAATTGAACTTTGGTTCATTGTGATTGTGTGTGTAATTATTTCATCAGTTTTTTCATGAACACTTATATATTGTAGACTAAAAACGCTTAGTATTTATCTCAGCAAACAAGTAGTCTTTATTTTTTTTTTTACAGATTGTGATAAAAAATAGATCATTCAAAGTCTCTAAGTATTCCACATTGAACTCTAAAATATTCATTAACTGACTTATTTCTATGTATAAACTAGTATTTTCTCTACATATTCTCTACCATTTATAAAAATTCTTAAAATGCTGGAGGATTTTTTAACCTGCATTTTTCATCCTAGAAAATCAGGTACTAGTTACATTTTTAAGCTTCATAAGTTATTGAAAAAGTTACGTACTCCTTTGATTTTAGTTCTGGTGACAAGGAAAATTAGAATACAAGTTCTCTTTCCGTGGGTCAATAATAGTTTATGAAAAATTATTAAGATATACATTTAAATATAGGTGCATAAATATTTTAAAATAACATTTGACAAACTTCCAAACCAATACATTAAAAGAAACTCCCCACGTAAAGCCGTAACTTCCCTGTCTTGTGCATGGAAAGGACTAATGAAAGATTGAAGGGGATAGTGTGATGAAGTAAGCATAGTTGAGACAAATGATGATTTTCAAAATTAAAATACTTTTAATAACATGTACATAGTTCTTAGTTTTCTATAGGTCAAGATACTATTTCATAACTTGAATGTTAATTCAGATAACCTCATTTGAAGAGCACCTCATTTTCTCATTGTATTTGAAATGAGATGCTTGTATTTTTCTTGTAACTAGTGTTTGAGTTAGAATTCTCCAGTCGACTGCAGTGCTTTACTCAGCATTTTTTGTGGAGTGCAGTCTTCTGTTTAACTGAAGCTTACAATCTTAAGTGTTCAGATTTATAGTACAATAAAGAATCCTATTTTAAGCATTGTGGTTAAACTGCTTTTTAAAAAGCGCTATACGTTTCCCTACCTTATTTAAAAAGACTCTGCATAGGCTCCTTAAAAGTGACTTTGCTCTGGGTCTGTGTCTGTGAACACACCCTGTGAGTGGCACCTTGGAGACTCTGAGGCGCAGAGCTGTTTGCTACATGGCCCCATGGTGCGTTTGTTGTGCTTGCTCTGCGTGTGCATTTGCTGGCTCTTCGTACCAAGTTAGCAGTTGTTTCCTGCCCCCTGCCTGTTTCTACCAGCTCTTTGCTCTGTGCTTCCCATCCTGACATGCTCATTATAGTTGGTTGTGAACTAGGAAAGCAGATAAGTAAATTTATCCAGTGTGTAAAAAAAAAGCACTGAGACACCTAAGTTCAGTGAGTGAGCTTTAGCACTCTGTGCCTCTTAACGTCTGGTGCTGAATAATCAGGGGGAAGAAAGATATATTCCTGTACTTGAACAGGGTGGTTAAAATGCAGATATGTGAAATGTTACTGAATATCATTGGTGATATAATCCTCTAAATAACGTTAAGTGCAGTGACTTACTTTCCTTGTTACTATTTGCTTGAGAGTGCTTTAGCAGACTGTTGATACCTTGCCTATCGTGATTATATTTTTGGCTGAAGCTGTTTTAATCAATGCTATACATAGTAGAACTTTGGGTTGGGACTTTGATCAACATTACTTGTTACTGTATGGCTTTGGAGAAGATTCACTTTCATTTCTAAAGAGTCTTAGAGCCCTCATTGTAGGTGATCCCAGTGGAGGTAGGATGATGATCTTCCTAGTCAGAGGTCGGCTTCTCAGCATTCACAGAAGATCCTTATCCCTTCCCCTAGCTTAACTGGCGTCATTTTCAACTGATAACGGAGAATAGCTGTCCGCTACACATTTATTAGAGGGTGTGTTAATCTCACTGCTGATTGATAAACATCAGAACTTGGTTGAGAGATGTGATATGCAGGGGGAAATATGTGAAGCTTATCCACTATCGTATTAGTCTTACAGGTTTATAAACTATGTCTCTGGGTCTGCCCAGAGAGCAGCTGAGTGTGTAGGTTGCATTGCTTTGCCCTGTCCTGTCTCCAGTTGCTTTTGCCCCTGTCTTGCTTTGGTGAGATTCCAGCAGCCTACATTGAGCATCCGCAGAGGAAGCCATCACAGAGGATCTTCTTGAAATTGTTGTTAAGAACATTGTTTATTATGTCAAAAAATGTCATCTTTTTGTGAAGATTTCTATGAGAAATATGTCTTTTTTTTTTTAAGTGCCGAGAACTCTATCTTTAGGCAGTTGATTTACTTATATCTACTGGGCACAAATGAGTGTGTAACTGGCAACTTCTCTTTTTCTCATACAGCAATTAGAAATCTTAGTGTTAAATCGGGAGAAGGAAATGGCAGTCCACTCCAGTATTCTTGCCTGGAGAATCCTGTGGACACAGGAGCCTGGTGGGCTGCTGTCCATACAGTTGCAGATTCGGACACAGCTGAAGCGACTTAGCATGCATGCACGCATTGGAGAAGGAAATGGCAAC